AGATCTCACTCTCGAGCAAAGCCTGAAGGGACTGAAGGAGGGGGGATGAGGGTGAGGTGGGACGCTGAACAACCAAAATAAGGTAAAAAGCTCAGTGCTGCCAGGTCGCTGTTTCCGAAAATGAGAGTCGCGGCAAGCAGAAGGCCGAGGGACAGAAAAGAAAGAAAGAGAAGGCTTACCAGAGACCGAACGAGTATCGTGAGAAGCAAGTAGCCTAAACAAGGCAGAGCTAAGAACTGAGGGTATTTTCAGTTGTATCGACGATGCGCGTAGGTCAATAAAACCAGCAGACCTGGAGGCTTTGTAGAGTCTTGAGTACGATATTGTACTTGAGACTTAGAGTGTTTGTTGTGATGGGGCGGAAAGGAATTGTTGATTGAGTGTATGAGGTGTGTGGAAAGGGGGAGAGAATTTTGAGTTGAAGTGGAGAGAAGTATGGGAGAAGGGAAGACGATGTGAAGGAAGAAGAGGCTTTTGATTTAGGGCATAGAGGGACTCCGAGGCGGCAGTAGGATGAATAGGTGGTTGTGTATTCCATCGTAGCATGGTGGGGTGGAGGTGAGTATTAGGCCGATGGTTGTATGACAAGTCAGGACGACAACAATGGCAAGACTTGGTGGGTTGCCTGAACGCGCAAAAACGCTTGTTGTGATAGAATGATATAAAGCGCCAAGAGGTTCTCCAGGGAAACTGATTCATCCACACTGAACAACCAGCATAACCTCAATCACACGAGAGCGAGGAAGATGAAGAGGGTAACGTTGTGGTCGTCGTGATGGAAAGAGTTATTCAGCATTGAAGATCAATGATCAGCTGTTTCTCGCCGCAGAGTGGCTTCGACTTCGTTGTATCCTAGGACGTCACATCACAACTCGCAACGTTTAGATGGACGTTCCAACAATCTTCAACGCTCTCATAAGGTAAGCAGAGCGAAAGAGTTATATCAGAAAGCGCGTCACTGATATGCAACACTTGATTGGGAGAGAGAGTTGTGTTCATAACTGTAATTGTTTATCAAAATGGAGGCTCCATGTCGTCGTTCCCACTCGGCCCCGGATTTGCGGACCAATATCAAGGTTGGAACCATAGTGGATCCCGGTTTTCCGGGAGCGCTCGAGCCAACATCCAACTCCAACTCATGATTTTGGTCCATGACTTCAACGTGGTGCGAGATTCTCGTCCCAACTACACGATTCTGGCCGTGCAGATTTGAAGCTGAACTCCTGGCGCTCGCGACGCTTGTTATAGGGTATTTTAATCGAACTAAGGGGGGCATTAGTTGTGTCCGGTTGACGCTGCAAGAGCAAATTTCACTTACGGGAGTCAAGAAAGATTCGGCAACGAATCTAGCTCTCGCATTCAACTGTGTGCTGTCAGAAACTGCCATGGCAGAGGGATCAACAGTGAGGGGACATACGAAGAGCTTCATTTCCGAAATCTCCTTGTCAACCTCCTCCATGAATTGGATAATAAAGTCGACCAGCTTGTGCTTCAGCATCTCCTCGGTGTGGAAGTTCGTAATCAAGAATGAAATGTCGTATCCCTAGTGCAATAGTAAGTCAGTGTCGTCGTTCGCGTTGCCAGTTGTAAGCCACGTGGCATTGTAGCCCCTGAAAGCTCCGCCAAACACTTCCGTGATGTGTATCTCATACCTTAATTGGCTTTCTTCTCAAGATGAAGAACGATTCGGCTCTCTGCGTCAGGAAACGAGTAAACTTGTGGACGAGGATGTGCTCGATCTCGTCGGCCTGCTTGATCTTGATGGATATCCGCACGGAATTGATACTCGGTTCGATCAGAACTCGCTCGTTTTCGTTTCGGGCAATCGTTAGGGGCGTCAGGAGGACTTCAGGTGATGTTTGAGCCTCGATCTCTGGGACATTGTGACGTTCGGCGGTCTGGGAAGCGAAATTGGAGAGCGTCAGGGCGGACGTCAGACTGCTCCGGACGGCTTGGAGATAGGGTCGCAGTGATTGAGACTATGTTTCCAATTGTTAGCAAAAACACAGCTCATCCAACCACAAGAGTTCACTGACCATGATGGCGAGACGTGGCCGCGTCCAACCTTTGGTGATGCTGAGAGGTTGGAGTTGGATCTTGACCGCGGGGCTCGTGAGGTTGGCTCAGCCGGAAGCCTGACGTTTCGTAGTGGGGCTGGTAGCACCGCCGTACCTTAGCTCCACATCATGCGTAGCTGTCACCGCACTTCGCTGATTCAGCCGGAAGCTTCCTCACGTGATCCTGGAGCTCTTTCCTTAGTGGCGATCCCCCGCTTGTACCCTTTACATGCATACTACGGTATGTACGCTTGACCATTTCGAAAACCGAATAACAACGGACCCAGGAACTAGGCACATTATTTTATGCTCCCAGATAGACTATGATGATGAGGGCAACTATTCAATTTTCTAGCATTGAAGTGCATGACACAAATACCATAAGCTTTGCAGGTTATCTCGAGCCTCCTTTCCCCGAAGATGCTGGAAGACTGTCGAATGCATGCGGAAGTGCTAGGGACAAGGGCATATTGCCATAAGCGAATCGGTAGCTGAAACGGACCCTGCAGGTACACCGCTTCCCCGCTATCTTGCCGTGTAGTCCTTTGTACTACCTTGCCTCCCTTACTGCCCGCCCACCTCAAGGTTCCATGCTTGGTAGGTACTGACGCAACCCACCTGGTGCCTTCAACAAACTTGTCCTTCAACAGCCCGTTTCGCAACGAGGTTTTAATCTCAACACACTGAAAAAACCAGCTACTCCAGAATTCCGCAGCAAGGCCGACCTGAATCACAAACACAACGATGGCGTCAATACCCGGTAAGCAGCATTACTCAATCAATGCGTTGCCTGCTGTTGTCTGACTTGTCAAATAGTCACCGTTAGCCACCAAGGCACAAAGTACCAAGTCGAGATCGATACCTCGTCTAATGGCGAAACCTTCAAGTATCAGCTCTACAGTCTGACCGGCGTTGAACCCGAGCGACAAAAGATTCTTGTCAAGGGCAGGCAAGTCAAGGATGACGACGACATGGCCAAGTTCGGCCTTAAGGCCGGCGCCACACTGATGATGATGGGCAAGCCTTCCGGCGAGAACGCAGATCTCGCTCGACCCAAGGAAGCAGTCAAGTTTGTTGAGGACATGACCGAAGCCGAAGCAGCCCAGCAGGAAGGAGCCACTCCCGCAGGCCTCACCAATCTGGGCAACACCTGCTACCTTAACTCGACCCTCCAGACCCTCCGATCGATCCCCGAACTCCAGACGGCCCTGACCACGCACAAGTCGGGTAGCGGTGGTGCCGGCAGTAGCTTTGGCCTCACTTCGACTGATATCGCCACTCAACTTACCGATCTCTACAAGAACATGTCGGAAACACAGGGCGCCATTCCCCCGCTGACTTTCCTGAGTACACTCCGCATGGTCTACCCCCAATTCGCCGAGAAGTCCAAGACCGGAGCCGGATATGCTCAGCAGGATGCCGAGGAGGCCTGGTCTCAGATCATTTCCCAGTTGAAGCAGAAGCTCTCCGAGTCCGAGGGTTCTTCGTTTATCGACAGGTACATGGCTGGAGAGCTTCAGTCAACTCTCGAGGCTGATGAGCAGGCTGCCAGGGATGGTGGAGAGGAGCCTGTCAAGTCAAGCGAATCTTTCCTCAAGCTCAACTGCCACATTGATGCCTCAATCAACCACCTTCGCGACGGTATTATGGCTGCTTTGACTGAGAAGTTGGAGAAGAAGTCTTCCGTCCTGGATAGAGACACGACTTACACGAAGAAGTCGCAAATTTCACGGCTCCCCAAGTATCTTACGGTCCATTTTGTGCGATTCTTCTGGAAGCGAGAAGTGCAGAAGAAGGCCAAGATCATGCGCAAGGTCACTTTCCCCCACGAACTTGACGTTGTTGAGTTCTGCACCGATGAGCTCAAGAAAGCTCTTATTCCCGTGCGCGACAAGGTTCGCGAGATTCGCAAAGACGAAGAGGATATTGAGCGTGCTCGCAAGAGACGCAAGATCAACCCTGTCGACCGAGGCGATGTTGCTGGAGCGTCTGGAGGTCCCGAGGGCAAGACAGCTTTGGAAAAGGCTAACGATAAGAAGGCCGAGAGAGCTGGAAAGCCCGTGGCCAGCACTTCTGATGGCGATACAGAGATGACTGAGACTTTCAAGACTGACGCTGAGGTCGAAGCCGAGAAAGATGCGGCTCTCACTGTTGCCAAGAAGGAGCTCTATGCTCTGGTGAACCAGGACCTGGCCAAGGACGAAGGCGCCAACCAGTCCGGAATCTACGAGCTGCGTGGCGTCGTCACTCACCAGGGAGCAAGTGCCGATAGCGGTCACTACACTGCCTATGTCAAGAAGACGGCCCCTGTCGACCCCAAGACCGGTAAGAAGGGCGAGGAGGACGGCAACTGGTGGTGGTTCAATGACGACAAGGTGTCCGAGGTGACCCCTGACAAGATCGATGCCTTGGCGGGCGGTGGCGAGTCGCACTCTGCCCTCATCTGTCTCTACCGGGCCATTCCTCTTCCGACGATTGATAATGAAGGCAAGACCGAGTAGGAAAACCCAGCTGCTCAGAGCTCTTGAAGGGCGTCGACTTGGCGTTTTCGAGCGATAACGAGGTTATGGGAGGCATGCAAAACGAGCCGGTGACAAAGAGATAAATCACTGTAGGGCATAGATAGACGGATTGATGATTGTAATGGATGCCGTTCATTACGCAAAGTGGTGATCGCTACAATTATTCTTTACTTTTGGGTACAGCCTGCGAATGGCTTTTGATCGACTTTATTATACAAAATTACCCATGGCGCCCATCAAGGCTCTACGCGTGGGCTGGTCGCTTTTGCGCCGCCGCCGATCGTGGTCTTTTGCCTCGGTCTTCGCGGATCCATTGGAAGCAGCATTCCTTATCCTACTTGGATGTGCCTACTGCTGGAGGCCGAACTCTTGTTGGCCATGACAGAACATCACCATATCAGACTTTTCATAGCGTCCGTTGTCATCCTTCTGGCTTCTTAGCCTCCCCCTCTTTTATCCTCTCATCCAGATACTCGAGCTTTCTTTCCCACTTCCGGCGCTCTGTAACTAACCGGCCACGCTGGCCCTGCAAGAGAGAAATTTGCTCATCGTACGGAGACTCCCAGAAGCTTTGTCGTTCCTGACGAGGAAGAATTTGTTAGCTTCACGCGATGCGACTTCCTCTATCAGAAATGCTCCCTCACCTCTTTCCATTCCTTTTGTGTCTTCAAGCCTGCGCCATAGGTGGCGCCTGTGAAAATGATGGCAGCGCAGCCGGCGGCTGTAAGGCCAGCGCGAAATTTGGTGAAGCCGCTCATATTTTCCCAGTCTTTACTTTAATTTTTTCTCCCCCTCCTCTTTTACAACGAAATTGTGGTTCCCTGTTGCTAGGTCTGCAAAGGCGCTTCACCAATATTCCCTCCAGACTTCTCTCGATTTTTTACTCCTTTTATCGTCTACGCCGTTGAATCGTCGGTTCACGGTGGCCAATTCGTCGGTTGTGGAAGAGAACGGATTCCAACGGGAGCGCGAAGATACCGATGAGAAGGATGAAGAGGAAGAATCGTTTGAAGAAGTGGTGGTCGTTGAGTCGAGAGAGTTAGCTCGCCTGTGGCCTTGTGGTCTCTCGAGTGGCGTTGATGGAGAATGCCGCCGCCGGGTCGTTGTCCCAAAGGGGTCGTACTCGCAATCGCAACTAGGAGAACAGCAATCGCTTGTCGTCGGCGTCGATGATCTCGGCGTTGACGGGTCTTTGGCGGGGGCGGCGGGCGCAGCAGAGTACGGCCAAGCGATGAGCTCCAGCGCGTTCGCGTCGAGGGTGTCGGTGTCGTTGTCGGTAGTCTCGGTGGCAGTCCAGCCGGAAGTGGAAACGCCGCGGCGGTGTAGGCCCCGCTGCAGACGTTGGCGCCGAGGAAGAAGAGGAGACGAAGGGAGCCCCAGCGCTCTTAGTAATCGTCCTGTCAGAGCCGGGGTTGGCGTGACGTCGTCGCTTCGGGTCATTACTGATGTTGAGCGGATAATTCAATCAGGTCAAGAGGGAAGGAAAAAAGACTCATAAGAGGCGAGTTCGTGCAACCCTTGAGATAGAGAGAGGAGTTGCCAAATAATCAAAAAGGCAGTCAAACGAGCAAAGAGTGTGTGGGAGACATTGACCTTTTTGTCGATTGCGCCATTACGAACTTCCGAAGCGAGCAAGAAGGATTAAGAGATAAGAGACGTCGAGTAAGAACCACCTAGGACCCCCAACTGCCTTTTTTTCGCTGCCCAGGGCATCCTCAAAGGGCTTATTCATTCCCACTTCTACTGGTGCGTTGAAACAAACTTCGTGAGAGCATCTCTCTTTCTCCATCCTCTTCTCCTTCCCCTCACCATTCATCCCTACTCCGTACACCAGAGCAACGTCCACCCTCCTTTCCACGGGTCTTCTGACCTCACATTCGCCACGACCCTTATCGGATCCCCTATCCTCTTTTCTCGCCTATTCACTCCCCGTCGAGCAACGGAAAGTCGCCGCAACATTCACTTTCGAGCAAGTGATCACGACCAGGTAGTTCTTGCCCGTGTGGGGTTCTGGTGCGACCCCCTGCTCGTTACAGCCCTTGCTGAAACCTTTCTCATGGCGCACTACTACTGAGGATCTCCCTCTCTGCTACAAGCCCAAAAAGCCTTTCTCACATTTCCCACCCGTCCCCCATCCTGACCTATCCTGGACCGCATAAAACCAGACAGATGTCACAAAGCCGGATGACGACGGGGGGAGATGGGACGCAGCCTGCGGCAAGTGCACGCGAGAAGCGACGAAGTGCTACCGTTACGATGGCCGATGCTGGGGCTAGGAGAAGATGCGATACAGGGGCCAGTAAGAGGGGACAAAAGGCTTGTCTTCTCGCTTGTCATTGTCGGGGAGATCAGAAGAAACATTGGACACACGATACGGCAAAGATTTTGAAGAAAGAAACTCAGCACTGCCGCCCCCGCCTGGCCTTGGCTCGAGTTGGCAGATGTCGTTGGGTCTTGGCCTGAGCCGTGGATGAGTTCATCGGCCAAAGTTGGCACTTGCAGAAAACAAACCGTTGGTGAACTGTGTCATGGGTCATGGCAAGCGCCGTTACGGTTTACACGAGATCTCAAAAGGCTATGCACAGAATTGAGATGAAGTGCGCAGACGGGAAGAGCGGGACGGCTGGAAAGCCAAACTGGGCAAAAGCAGAAGCGTCACGTCAAGCCCATCCGTCTCAAGTTGCTCTCATTTACAACCCACCATTTCACATCAGACTCCGGGTTCTCTTCATGCATTAAACGTCACAAGCACATATACCCACGTCAAGATCTCGCTGCTGCTGTGTGTGACAGGACCAAAAGCTGACTCGGGGGCGTCCCTGCGCCGCCCTCCATTAGACCCCCGAAAAACACTTAGACATCGGTAGAGATCGCATAACATTTCCCACACACCAACTCCCATTGCGAGGTTACATCCGCTGTCAAATCGGCTTCCGCGAGACGGATTTGTTGCACCCGCCGCCATGACGACTCCCCGTGCCTTTGTCATCCGCCACGGCGAGACGGAATGGTCTCTGAACGGCCGGCATACCGGCAGCACCGATATCCCGCTCACAGCCAACGGCGGGAAGCGTGTGCGCGCCACCGGCCGCGCCCTGGTTGGGAGTGACCGCCTTATTGTACCCAAACGAATCTCTCACATGTGAGTTGCGTGCAATTGTTAAGCCACGTGAGGAGGATAATGAGGTCTTCCGCCTCAGGGGTCCAGACTTGCTCTCAAGCACAACCAGGTACATCAAGTGATGCCACCTAGCACTCATCATTAGCCTCAATCTCAAACCCCTTGGCCGTGAGCTGCTGCTAAAGGCAAATCAGTTACGTCTCCCCTCGCAAACGTGCCCAGCGCACCTTTGAACTGCTGAACCTCGGCATCAACGACAATCTCCCCTGGAAGAAACACGGCGAGATCGAGGGCAACGGCCCGCACTGCAACGCCTGCGTCGAGGTCACCGAGGACATTCGCGAATGGGACTATGGCGACTACGAGGGCATCACATCGCCCGAGATCCGCCGCATCCGCAAGGAGCAGGGCCTTTCTGAGAACTGGGACATTTGGCGCGACGGCTGCCCAGGCGGCGAGTAAGTCTTTCTCTTCCACCTCCGATGCCTTTCGCTCTCCTTCCGTGCCTGTCAGGTCGTGCTGTCTTCCAGAAAAGCGTCGTCGGTGATCTGGTCGACGATGCGATTGAAACCGGTGATAAGTGCTGCTTCAAGGAGACGCAAACAAAACATCGATCGATGTTGCGTGAAGTCTCATAAATAGCCAACGGAAATTTCAAACATTGAGAAAATCTTGCTAACCCCCACACAGGAGCCCCCAAGACGTGACGGAACGTCTGGACCGCCTGATCAAAGACATCCGCGACAGGTGGCACAGCCCCGTCATCGGCAACAAGGACGCGCCCAACGGAGACGTCCTGGTCGTCGCCCACGGCCACATCCTCCGCGCCTTTGCCATGCGCTGGGCCGGCAAGACGCTGCAGGACGGACCGGCGTTCCTGCTCGAGGCCGGTGGCGTGGGTACTTTGAGGTGAGCTTTTCTTGTTGTTCGATAGAAAGAGTGTATCCCCATGTAGAGCGAGACAAGACTGATGTGTGAGAAACTACGTTAGTTACGAGCACCACAGCATCGAGGAACCTGCTATTCTGCTTGGAGGTGCTTTTGCTGTTGATATCATTGATAAGGAATAGTAGGTACGGGAGTTTCGGTAGAACGGGAGGCATGGTCTTTCCGAGTGTGTTCCGCTCGTCTTCAACCAAAGAGGTTCAAGCCTGAGTTCCAAATCTGAAAAATTCATGATATCTTGAGCTCACTGATATCTACGCCTTTGTTCCACGCGCCAAGAACACGCGCCTCTTCATCCCCTGTCCCGAGCCATGGCCATGATCATGTCCCTTTTCCTCCCCATGGCTATGTCCATGTCCATGCCCATGCCCCCCAAAAACAACACCACTCCCAAGCTCCTCCATCCTGAAATCCCCGCCCGCACCAGCCTGCTCAAAGATACTCTTCATCCTCTCCTCCGAAAACCCGTGATGCATAACCGTATGCGCAGCAGGCAACGCGTGGTCCATCTTCTCGTGCGGCAGGAAATCGAGAATGATGAAAACCCCGCCCGGCCTCAGCCTCTCCACCAGCCGGCGGGCCGAGAACTCCGGATCCTCAAAGTGGTGGAAACCGAGACCGACACCGGCAACGTCAAAGTCGCGGAAGCGGCCGTCGTCGGAAGCGAACGCCGCGGGGGCCGGATCGGAAGGGTCCGTGAGGTTGCCTTGATAGGCGTGCATTTCGTCGGTGGTGAGGCCCTGAGGGGGGTGTGGGTGGTCATGTCAGTCACCGGGTTCAGCTGAAGCTTGCCGCTTCTATCCGCCTTTTCTTTTTTTTTCGGCCTTTCCCGTCTTTTCTCTTTCATGTCGTCCATGTATCATGTCTCATGTACTTTTGCGGCATCTTTGCGCAAGGGGGGGGGGGCTTCTGGTCACGCAATATCTTCCCCGTGCGCCGAGCCGCCCGCACAGGCTTGGTTCGGTCTACGGCCGAGCACTCGGAGGAAGAAGGGAGAAGGGGGAGGGGTAGGAGGGTTAGAAGTGCGGGTGTGCTCGCCCGAGACGGCAACTTTGCCATCAAAAAGATGGGATGAGATGAGATTCTCGTGAGATTCAGGGAGGGGTGGGTAGGGTGAGGTGAGGTGAGGTGAGAGAGAGAGATCTAGGTAAGGCTGTCCAGAGGAGAGAAAGGGGGGAGGGGTCGGATCGAAAACCGCCAAAAGAGAGTGCGAGAGTTTTTAGTTTGGGCAAATGTCCACGTCATGTCATGGCGGGGATCGAAAAGGTCTGAAGGTCAGCAGGGCTGAGATGAGACCAACATGAGGTGTGTGTGTGTGTGTGAGAGAGAGAGAGCGGGAGCAAAGAGAAAGAGAGAGAAGAAAGTGACTCGTGGAGAGAACGGACCCGTCCGTCATTTCATCGTGGACGTGACGACGAAAAACGCTCAGACGAGGGTTTCTGACTTTCTTTCCCTTGACCTTGCTCTACACACAGCCACGACAAGCCTTTTCAAGCCCTCTTCCTTTCCACTTCCCAACAAGATTGTCTGTGCTCTCTTCTTTTGCCGAAACGAGTCCGTGAGCAGGTAACCGTGTGAGGCGAACGATCCCATCTTTTTCTTGCTCTTGTCTGGAGTCGAGCCGAGTCTGGGAGCGGCTGGCTCCATGGTCTCGTCTTTTTTTTTTTGCGTCTGGTGTCTGGTGTCTGGTGTGCGTGTACACACACCTTTCCTTCGAAACTCTCCCTCCGCCCTCCCAGCTCTCCCTCTCTCTTTTGTCACTTTCCACTTGGATGCCCGGTCTGTACGTCGTGTGTGGGCAGAACTATCTGGCCAAAAGTGAGGTGACGAAGATGAGGAGAAGGTGTGTATGTAGAGAACGACAAGCGGAAGTCTGAATGGGGAAACCGAGCTATTTTGGACTCATCTCTCTCTGTCGCCTTGTTTTGACTGCCACCAACTTGAACCAAACAAAAATCAGAATCATCTTTCCAACGTACCTGGTTCTCGGCCCGGGCGTTGTAGGCCGCCACCATGTTTTCCGAAATGTCTATGCCGACGCAATGCGTCGTGAACTGCGCGAGGGCCTGTTGTTATTTTTGGTGTCAGTCAACTTTGTCCCGGATGTAAGTCTACAGCCCGAGTCTCCGTTTCTACATGCTAAAGTGTGCTGGAGCCCTCAAACTAGAAAGGACCAACGAGGAATCGCACAAATGTTGTGTAAATGACAAAGAAAACAAGTAACACGAATATGTTGTACACGACATCTGAAACAAGGGCAAACAAACTTGCGTGACGGACGGGAGAAGATCTCATCCATGCTCTCTCGAGTACTTGCACGAGGGAAGTGATATGCTACTCGCAACCATGACAAAGGTAATAGGTAATTAGAACATAATCATATCGTCTTCAAAAGAAGAAGAAAATACGATAGGAACAACAAGTCACAAAACAACTCACCCTCGATATCAAGCCCGTTCCACAAGCGTAATCAAGAAGTCTCACCGACCGACCATTCGCCGCCGTCGACTGTGCTGCGCTCTCGCTCTCGCTGTCATCATCGTCGTCGTCAATCACCCAATCTGCGCCGATGAAGTCCTTGCGCTTGTGAATCTCTTTTTCAAGCTGCAGAATAGTCTTTTCGTACTTCGTGTCGTACTCGGCAGCCAGCTTACTACTCAAGGAGTTAGTTCGTGTAAGTCAACTCTATGGGCCTCTCCTTTTGACTTCTATTTGCTCGAATATGTCCAAATGCGAAAATGCAGTTCAGAAAAGGAGGAAGAAGTTTGAACGAGGAATTCTGTCAGGGTCGAATGATATTCGGAAAAGGGGGAGGGGGTTGAGGCAAGTACACCTCAAATTGTGAAGAGTCTCGAAAGGCGGGTTGTGTTTGTGATGTATGTACATCGGCAGGAACCCGGGGACGGTATGAACGCGGACAAAATTGGATGTTACTCGGTATCATCCCGTTACGGCGTTCCTCCATCCCCCATAAAGGAAGTGTGGGGGAACGACGTGTGAAAATGTAGGAATGTATACGTACTTGAAGTAAGCCTTGTTGGCGCTGGCAGTATCATTCTCAGCCATGGTTATCGACGGGGATATATTCGGTGAATGGAACGTCGGCGGTAATTTCCCCGGGCAAATCTCGAGCTGTCGTCTCGGTGTGTAAGGTGAGGAGGTACTTGGTATACGTCCAGGGTTATCGATATCTTGGGGGGTTCGGAAATGTCGTCTTCTTTTCGTTTGTCAACCCCTCTTTGGACTTCTTCGTCTTTTGATTGGAGGAGAAAAGAGAAAGAAAAGGAAGATACAAGGACTACTCGTCTGCAAGTGCCTTACTCAGCTGTCACAAAGTGAGTTGCAAAAAATAGCAAGACCAATATGTCAGAGTTTCTTGATCTTCAACGTGTACCGTAGCTCGCTGGATGCTGCAACCACTCGACGTTGCTTTTAATCCTTTTTCGCACGGAGAGTTTTCGGTCACTTCGTAGCTGTACTGGTAGGTCCAGGTCCGCGGAAATGATCCGGGCGGGAAGGGGTCCAGTGCCTGTACTATCTAAGGTAGGGTTAAGAAACTCGGCGATGGGAAAAAACAAAAAAAACAAAGTCTCCAGTCCACATAAAGGCGTCGGGAGGTTAGTCCCCGATTGGAATGATTCAAGGAACCATACACGAAAAGGAGTACCTGCCGGAGCGGGGAATGGGATAATTGTGGAGGCACCGCTACGAGAATTCACCTATCCGTCCTCCGTACACAGTACTGCGGACCATGGAGTAAGGTATTCGTACCCGGCACGGGCGGGCAGCGAGGAAGGGTGAAGTGACGCCTGAGATTCATGGCCTTAGGTAAGGCAAGGAAAGTCCCCCGCTTTCAACAGCTTAACAGCAGCCTCTATATCACGTGACTTAATATGTAGGAGACCGGGATGGCACGGGGGCGTGGAGAATTTCGGGGTAGGTTCAGCGTTGTGGATTCCTTCTCCCCCGTCCGGTTCTGGCAGGAGTTCGGTCAAAGTACCTGAATCCAAGGCGGAGGGGGGAAGGGGGTCAGCGTGGTAAACGAAGAACGGCGAACTAATAGAGATCTGTCCCGTTCCCCCCTTCCTCTTCCTTCCCATCCCGACCCGGCCTTGCCTTGTCTTCCTAGCGAACTTGAAGGGTACCTACCTACCTTACCTCGCACCGCGTCTGGACAAGAAGGTCGTGGCCGCGGCGCTCCAGGTCTCTCGGGGAACCGGAGGAGGGAGGAGGGGGGTTGGCCTGGTGGAACCTTGACAATTGGAGTCCCCTACCTTTACGAATTCCTTACCTTGTGGAGGAGCAAAGAAGGAGACCGTCATCCTGCACGTCTGCGGCTGCCTCGTTATCCCCCCTTCCAACTTCCAAGGGCTCGCTCCCAGGAGTCAGGAGTCAGCGCTGGTAGCCATGGCACGCCGCACATCCATTGGCAAATCCACCATGGATCATGGCCGAAACCCTGGGGCCGCCGCTTTTTGCGGCGCGCCTTTCGTAGCCCACCGAAGCGACCTCGGGCGGGATGCGAAGACGCACCCGGGGCCCAAATCAGGTTACAGCCGCGGGCCCGGCAAGGAAAAGAGAGGGGGGGATGGAATGGGATGCCCGTCCGAAATACCCACTGCAAGCGTGGCAGGTTGGACGGCAGGACCTGGCTTGACTAGCATTTTCCTCTTCCGTCCTCCGTGAGTTCATGGTGCGTGGGCACGCACATGCACACTCACACACACACCAACACCCATCGCTTCGCAACCCGAGCGGCGTTACCTGCCGCCGTCGAGTCATACAGACAGGTACATGACCCGGCACTACAAGCAACGCAGAGTGACCAGAGCTGCCTTGACAAGCCAGAACCGGCCGTAAGCATGCCTGAAGAGGTTTGTGTTCCCTTGCACCGACGAGTCGTTCATACCACAGTACCTGCTCCGTACATGATACGGCAGCGCGAAAAATAAATGTGTATCCAGCCACCAAACAAGGATTGAAAAAGCAAAGACAAACTCTGAATGAAGCCCGAGAGGCAAATGCCGGGGGAGGACAGCACGGGGCGTGACCGTGACGGGGTCGACTTGACGGTGTGTGACCGACCGGGGCTGACGGGGGGCCACCGCCGGGTGTTGGGAAACAGACAGGTGCCGTGGACAGGTTTTTCTGGTGGTAAAAAAACAAGCGGATCGACGCCGATCCTGCTGCAGGCCGCATCGGTCCGCAGCTTGTGACTGCAGCACCATGCGGGCGGTGACGGGCCCAAGCGGCCATGCAGCAGCACCAAAGGTCTCAAGGTCGCACGAATATCTTCGGAGGCCGTCTAAGTGGTTCGAGCCCACCCCCTTGGGTGCTACCTGTCATGCAGCTGGCCTGAAAGAGCGCGATCAGGAGCCTGGATAGCTTGAGAGCCCGTCCTGAATGTCCCAGTCGAAGAAGGGGTGGGCGACGTGGTCCATTATTTGTATGCCCGGCTGCCTGGGGGCTGGGCGCCGATGGGTGGTGAGTGACCCAAGCCTAGGTAGATGAGCCAAAAAGAACCAAAGTACTGTACATGATGCATCGCCAATGGACGGCTACCGCAGATGGGATGGGGCGAACTTTTCTTGTTGGTCTGCAACTCTGCTGCAAGGTATCGGCGGCCACGGACGCGAGTCGGGGGAAGACATGTCAATTTGTTTTGGTGATGGGTGGTGAGCAAGCGGGGAGACGGCGGACGAGGTGAGATGGTGGGTGAGGAGCTGGTCGCCCGTATGACTACCTAGGCGAAGAGAAAATGGTAAATAAAAAAAACTAAATTGAAAAGGAAAGAAAGAAAGCAAGAAGAAGCAACCCCTCACTGCCACTCCTACCATACTGTCAGAAAGTCAGACCAAAGAAAGAAACCCTCACGACCCCTCGTCAAGCGCTTGCTTTTTGCCGTTTCGGCTGCCTTGCTGAGATGGATTGCACGCATTGAAGAGTCAGAGTCAGGGACCCCTAGAAAGAAGCCGCCCACGATGTGTGCATCCCGGAATCGTGCTCGGTATCCGTATGGGTTGTTGATTGATACGTGCTCCCATCTGCTTCCCATAGTATCCGATTTCATTCGTACCACCGGCCGCCGCCGCTGCCGCCGCGTGGCTTGCGACGACGCAGCTGTCAGATCTGACAGGTCATCTCCGCCTCGTTTGTCGACCAACAACACTCACGGTATCGCATGACAGAATCGTCGCCTGGACCCATGAGCTGCATCCCGTAGACTGTAGTCGAGCGCGATCCCATCGAGAGCGAAGGTCAGCGAGAAGACCGACCAAGAAAGAAAGAAATCTCTCTTCCTTCTCCGGTCCGAAACTCGGCTGAACGTCAATACATTGACGTGATGGCGAGTGACAACGGGCGGGTCGAGTACAGGATGAACGGACCCGAGCCGCCCAGGACGGAGCGTAGGTCAGTGCCAACACCGCAATGAGCAGGTCAGATATTCTGCTCACCGCTGCTTTGCCGCTGTGGTGCAGTGTGCCTTTCCTGCCCCAACCATCCATATGCCTGCTCCTCTTAGCCAGCCCATCCTCGTTGCCCTCCTCCGGGCTCGAGGGCCCCATATAGCTCTCCCCACCATCTCATGTAGCTGGTGTGCCGCTCACTCAGCAGTCAGCACGCTCATAGGCAGTGTAGTCCTCAGTGGGCAACGTGAATCTCGTGCAGTAGCGTGCTTGAGACGCTGCCACGTTCCTCGAATCGGCGCCCATCCATCAGTGTGTTCAGTCGGCCGATGGAGGTATTCGAGTGCTCTCACACAGGGCTTCTTGCAGGCCAGTCTTTTGTAACGAGACAGTATGACACAAAATCAGGGAAAGGTCATGCTTCAAGAAAAGCGAGGAAAGTTTTCATTCGGATCGCTGGTGGGCCGAAGCTGATTGCAGTCCGTTCGATACACTACACGTCCCGCGGACGGGCTGGTTAGCTTGCACGACCTTAGTGCGGCGCGTCCTGTACCTCAGCCATGGTGTGCCGCAGCGTACAATCGCCGCCGTTGAACGCGGAGCTGGCCCAGTCTGCTTCACTTACGTACCGAACGACGATACAAGGAAGGGCTGGGGACGGACTACATGCGCAGCGGGAAGTCTGTTGAGCAACCGTCACTTGTCCATCCGGCATGGATCCTAGCCTATGGTCTCGCCTTTGGGCTGCCATGTCTCATGTGGCCGAGGTCCCGTGAGAAACAGTTGATGTGGCTGGGCATCCAGAAGCAGCAGCTATGCAGCTGTCTGCATGGCGATGGTCATGGACGTTGTAGCTTCTGGCATCCTGCCAGCCCACGTAGCCTGGCCCTGGGCCATCGATCAGTGGCATCGCTGGCACGCCTGACGTGCTGCTATTCGGATTGCCAGCACGGCTAACTGGGCGAGTAGCTCTGGCGGCGCACTTGGGGGGGGGGGGGTGGGAGCGCGTCCGGCGAGGGTAGTGGCCGTACGAAGCTTTTGATGGTGGAGGGTTGGCGGCCGGAATCTTGCTGGCAACAGCCCTGTTCGAGCTCATTCCTCGAAGACGCGTCTCAATCATGAAGCTTTCACCGCATTCGGCCGTCCAGCCCTCGTCCATGGTTTTGTCCTCTTTCTTCGTCTGATATCCGTCGATCGGAGCCTCAGTCTATTGCTGTTCGCAATTTCCACCCCATGGGCTTGTCGCTTGACTCGGCCTGGTCAAATCTCCCTGCTAATTCGATCTGGGCTGCTTTGCCAGGTTTGCCCGGTTGGCGGGCTGCGGCAGTGTCGCAGCATGTACAGAAATATGTGTACGCACTGTGTAGACAAGTCACTTCTCCTCCCATCATGGTCTCTGGTGCAGAGCGAACTGTGCAGAGTCTTGGTGCTATTATTCCTTGTCGCCGCCCATCCCCACTGGAAGTGATTAAGAACGGGCGGCTTGTCTCGGTAGAAGAGCTGATCGGATTGTTCCCCACGCGCCATCAAGATTCAGTTGGAAGCTGAGGTGGGAGTATATGACACGTCGTCGTCGTCGCCGCGTCCATCGCAGGCGCTAGTTTGAGTGTCTACAGGTGTAATATGCTTTCGCCGCATAATGGGAATGTCTTTGATTAATCTCGGGGCGTACAAAGCACAGGGACAGAAACCCCTTGCTTCCAATCCCACCCTTGGTCTCCCAAGTCGGTCGTCTGCCTTGCCACCGACCTCTCCGGTGAGAGGGGGTTAAAAATGGTCACAATGGCCCCCATCCATTATTGCACCGCTAGTCACCGTTAATGTGTCCAAAAGTCAAGCCGACAAAGCTGGGGCAGGGACCAGGTATCAAGAGAGCTGTCAAGGTCTAGGAGGTCATTTGGACCAGGATGGAAAGTTTCCATGTGCTGTATTGAAAGGAGGTCCGTGATGCTAGATCAAGCGACGAGGCTCGATCGGCCCAGCGGGTGTGCCTCGAGGTTTTCTTTTCGGACGGAATGAAGGGGTAGGCAAGGTCGTAGGTAAGGTAAAGAGAAAAGGGGGGGAGGGGGCGGTTGTGTGAGGCACGAATATCGAAATGGTTGAGGATGCACCGTAGGGGTAGAGGTGCCACACACAATGGATTGGGAGGTGAAGTGAGTCGAGGTTTGCGTGGTTTGGTCCGGTCAAGGTCTCTGGAAAAGGAGTGTGTGAATGGGAGGGTGGTTGTCGTGGCGGGCCGTGGAGAGCCTGAGCAAGGGAATCGAAGGCAAAAAATGGGGAACGTCGCGGGAACGACGGCTGCATGCATACGCTTTTCGTCACGTGATGTCCCTAAACCCAATGTCCCCCGATCTGTCCAATGACCTTTGACAATCAGAGAACACCCCTAGCGCCACCAAAACACGATTGCCTGTTGATAGCGGCCCAGTCGCTTGGATGCTCCTCCTCGCCAGACAAGTACCGGTACCAGAAGCCAGGTAGGTGCCTTGGTAGACAGGGTAAGAAAAACGAACGAAAAAAAAGGGCGAATCCTGGGCTGAGAGACTCCCAAGGTCAGCCCTTCGATTGGTTGGTTGGCTGCCGCTTGGTTGGTCTGTTAATAGAGATTTGTCGTGACGTTTTTGAGGTATCTTGGGTATCGTCAGGCTGCGACAATTACCCACCGGTCCTTACCAGACATGGCTTTGAACCTACGTTGACAGAGTCTTTGTTGCGAAAAATGTACGCTTTCATTTCGCCCAATATCTCAAGGTGAACCCGGCCTGGGAAAGGTATGCATCATCAACAACATTACGTCTTGCTAGCCCAACCAACCGCAAGGTCAAAACGCCAGACCCGAGGGGGGGAAAAGGTGGACTTATTCGGTGAACGCGGGCCAGCCGGCGGCAAGCGTGCATTTGGCTGACATGCAGGACGTATTGGTTGTCGAATAGTGAACCAGGCCGTTGAGATAACCGGACTGACAAGCTAGCAGCACGCCTCCCTTACCTTGTCTGGCACGAGCGTCAACAAAGTTGGGCTGGTGGCTAACATGGGACCATCTCCTGCCACACTGTCGCTTTCAAGCGAATCTCAGGGCGTGCAGACGGCGGAAGCTATCCTCGAGCGCTGCCATCATCTTCCCCGACGCTGCGAGTTACGCGATACGGCTCCACGAGGCCCGGCCCGCCTCTCAAAATGGTGCTTCTCGTCCCACTTGGGATGCCTCACCACGGCACAGACTAATGTTGCCGCAACGAGCTATTCAAAAAACTTGTCGGCTGAGATTTTTCTTCCGTCTCACTTCAAGAGCGGCGAACTACTTGCACTATTTGCTTGCTGCCTGGGCCTCACACCGCCAAGTGAGACCGAGCAAAGTCGCGGAAAGAGCGACAATAAAACCGTTCCTGGTAATGATCATAGATCCATGTCGTTGTCGGGAATGGACGAGCGCAATGGGGCATGGCGCTTGGATCAGGCTCAAGCAGTCCGTGGAAGAAAATGAAGTTCGGATATGGTTTGGGAGAACTGCAACTACAAGTGAGCAAGATGGAACCAAAAACTTAAGGCAAAACTTAGCACTGTCCAATTCTTGAGACTTGAATACAGATTGCAGGCTTGAGATGGGTGAGCCTGATTATACACTTCACGTGTGGATAAAACCCTGTCTTTGTCCGTCAACGTGACTGGCGAAACCCGGCGGCACGCCCCCGTCGCCGAGTAGCCTTGGGTTTGCGTCGTCAAAGTCGACCACTGGGGCCAGGGGAGGCAGACGTCATCACCCGTCTTGTATGGAATATCAAAGTTCGAGTTGTCAGGCGGTTTGAGTTGGGAGCATGGCGTTTAGCTGGAATTGAGAGACTCGTACGTAGCGGTGTGCAATGTACTGCGCGGCTGATCGGTCTCTTGTTGATTTCCAGATACTATGAAACCGCTCATTAGTGTTGATGTTGGTTGTGTTACATGCACGATGTCACTGTGCTGTGATGCGATCCGCTTGGTGAGCCGATGGGTGTCTTTGCGGATTCGTTTAAATGCGGCCAAATTGTGTAATTAAGCCACACTTGGAGCTTCCCTGTCCATTTCTATGCCCACTTCGATGTAAAAGCACGACAGTTAGATGAACTGTCCGTGAAACGTCTGAAGCGAGGCGAATGTTTGCTGCTGGCAAAGAAAGTCAGCAAGGTATTCGCTGTTAAGCTCTTTTTTCAATTCCTCTTCCATCACGTTTTCAACTTGGTTCTGGCAATTATAAGGTTTAAAGGCGTGAAAGGGGCCGATGAAGGTTGATGCGGTACGGTGTACGGCGTACTAGCGAGACAGTGGTCAATCCGGAATCTGTGGAAGCATCTGGACCAGCAATGCCATCCGTATCAAGAGAAGGTGTGGGAAGGTTGTCCCCCTTCATGTTGGAGGAAACGATACATCTAACCTAAGTCACCAGCGACGAGGAATTGAACAACAGGAAGTTCCAAACCTTCTCGGAATATTTTGAGGCGGTGTCAGATGTAATGCCAATGCTGATTAGTCAATAGACCACCATCGTGGGCTGGCGATTGAACCGCCAGTGCTGGAATTCATTCTACATGCGACGGCGTGGAAGCCCTGCTATGTCATTCAACGGTCAGTCTGGTAATAGTCATCGGTCCCTGCAGGCCGAAATCGCCGTGAAGATGCTCCGTGTTGGGAGCGTAAACCAAACGAGGCAGGACAAAATCTTGGAACATTGGCTGTAAGCGGATTTTCAGACCGAACAGGCAAGCTGAGGGTTGTACCATGCGTGTTGGTGAGATACCTGGTCTCGCGCCACACAGGAATGACATGACGCTGCAGCTGTAATCGAACTGGGTTAGGAGCAGATGCAAGTGCATCCCAGCAGAGGACGTATTACTGCATCAAGCAGACCTCCCTTTGTGGTTCTGCAACCTGCCCAGAGGTGGTGCACAGACATGAAGGCATTGGTCTCGCGGTGAGATAGATTGCCGTAGGGCCATCCGTATTGGCGAAGGTGATGGATATGCGGGATATGTACGACGAAACGGCAGAAACGGGAGTATCCTTTAGGGAGCGGGCGGCGCGGCGTTGCATGGTCGGCAGCCCCCGGTCCTTGCGCAAGCCCCCGGTTCCCTTTGCGTTAGCGTGACTAGGGGTAGGACCAAGTGAACCCCAATCTCGTCCGCTCTCTCGCTTGCTCGCCAGTCCTCGGGATCCCCTGGCGGTACATCATCGGAACTGTCCCTCAAGCCAGTGCAGCCTGCCATGAATTGATTTGAAACCGGAGTGCTGGAGGCAGCGGATAGAAGAATCTGACGGGCGCGATTCATCAACGCTACTTGATCTAAGGTGCGTCGAGAGCTGCGCAAGACAAAGGGAGGCGGGGCTGTCTCTGCCCGACCCATGAAGTCGGTACGAAGTATCTGTTTGTACCGGGTACGCGAAGACTGTGGGTACCGGCAAGCTCCTAAGAAGAACCCATGAGCCCGGTGGAACTGGGGGGTAGCCCCTCCCGCCAGAATGGACCGCTAAGAACGGAAAAAGAAAGTCTGACAGGCGATTGGGTCTGCCTTAGTCGCCCATGGCCCGACGACGGCGCTGTCAGCACAAGCCTCTGGGACTGGACCGAATCCAGCTGCTGGTGCTGTTGCCGGTGGGGGTGTGGACGGGCGTCGCGTTATCGCTTTGTGTCTCTGGGGCAGCCGACAGGGCGCACATCGGACAAGTTGATCAGTCAAGTGATCATCCGTAGGTGTGGGTGGGTAGCGGGAGAACAAAGGCAGGTTCTTCACCAATATTTGTCCAATTGACGCGATGCGTCGCTCTCTGGAATCGGGGTCGGAAACGCAGTCGCACCATCTTCACGTCTCGCACTGGTAGGAATTGGTTTGCAGGAATGTTTGCACCGCCAGTAGTGGAGGATGCGCGGCTGCTTCGAGTTCGTCATTGTCGACCGTGATCAAACCATGCCCAGAGGATGAGACTCTCTTGGTGAGGGGGAGAAGGCGGCACGGGCGGGTGTTCTGTTTCGCACGCGCGCGCTGCAGGGTATGCTTAAACCCACTGAGGAGCAGTACTTGCCCACGTCTGATCATCGTAGATCTGTTGGAAACCGTACCTTGGTTGGTTAAGAACGCCAGGCCTAGTGCCTGCTGGGCTATGACAGAGTGCTGGGTTGCGTGCAGATGGGATGAATAGGTAGGTAATTTATCCGTAGGCGTGCGCGGTGAGTGGGCTGCAGGTTTGGTGCGCTGGATGGCATCGTGTCGGTCGCCCGTCATGCCAGAGTGAAGGCTTCCCAACATCAGACCGTATTTAGCGGGTCTGCTAGCCGGTAGTTGGCGGACGGATAGTCGGCGTTCCATCAGCTCGGTTCGCGTCAAGAGAATGACGCCGGAGGCGATAGTTTGACCAGTTGCGCCACAATCATAGCGGCGGAACGGGTGCAAGACATGACATTGGCCTGGCATGGCAGGGTAGGTTGACAGGAGTGTCGAATGATTGGCGAATGGCGCGCAGGCACTGGTAGGGTGTTACCGCCGGTACGGAGCAGGAAGCCATTTCTGATGCGGCTGGTCTGCGGGCAGGCTGAGTGATGGGTCAGGACATAGGACTCGAGAATGGGTGGTGAAAGAAGATTGGAAGAACGTGCGCCGATTTGCTCCCGCAGGCCAGCGGAATTGAGAGTGTAGCTCGTGAGCCCCCCTGTCACAGCGTGTTGGACCAAGGATGTCGGCTTCGCATTCAAATAACTCGTCGATGGGTCACAGCCGAGCTCCAGATGGGGTAAAATGGCCAGACCCAATCATCGGTGGTACCGGGGCTGCTTCGGTCGACCCAGAATTGGGGCATCGCGGCCGCGTGGTAGTTTTGCGTTTGTCGGAGGGGCAGAGGGGCGGAGTGAGGGAGAAATTGAGGGGCACGAAGAAGCGTCGTCCGGAGTATGGCCTTGAGGTTGATCGAAGTGAGTGTGGAGGGGGATCGGAGGAATGGCGCAGCCCAGTGCCAAAGAAATGGTGTTAGAGGGGAAGAGAATATCGATGCTTACCGATCTAGATGCAATGACGCAGGGCAGGACCTTGAGGTGGGAAAAGCAAGATGAGGAAGGATTCCCTGGAAGGCTGGAACAACCGTTGAGACAGGGACTGGACACAACGGGCGGCGATGAGGATGGCCCGATGAGAGCCCTGCAGGATGATGGAAAAGAAGCTGAGAAAGTTAAAGCGACGTGATCTAATGTGGAGGAGGGGGAGGGGAAGATGGAAGAAGGAGCCTCAGAGGAGGGTGGGAGGGATCTCTCTCACCAAAACGTGTAGGGGGGAAAACGGAAGGAGGGAAGGGGGGAGAAAAGGAAAAAAAAAGGAAAGGGAAACAGGGATCCCAAGGCAAATTTCACCACTGCCCAATCGCCTATTCGCTGAGAAGACGGGGCCAGCTCCGAAGAAGACGGGCAAAGAACCCCGATCGACGCGACGCTCCCGCCTTCACCCAGTTCTATGGGAAGGTACCCTACCTGTCACGCCTGCGCCCGGTATCTGGGCAGGTACCAACGGCTTTGCCTTGTCCTCCTACCTTCCCTTGTTGTGCGCCTTAATCGATGAACGGAAGGAGCTCACGATGCGGAAAAGAGTTTCATGATTCGTGGTACCTTACCTTAATTGAGGCGATCGCGCTATCCAAGTCGCTTATTTGGAAGGCGAGGATGGCAGCAATGTCTACCAAGGTATGTGCCCAGTGATGCACACCTACCTTACCTGCCTTGCCTTACCTTGCCTTCTATTCACCGTCCCGGCCACGGAATACTCCGACTAGCCATGCGCCCGCGCCTGTTTGATTTGATGATGATCCTCTCCGAGTTCCTGGGATAACCCGAACTTGAAGGTCCTGACGGATAGTACCTAAGGTATTTACGTTATGTATCCGTATCTCATTCTTCTTTCTTGGAGAAGGTAGGCGGGTACTTTAGGCAGGCACGTTGAGCATGCACCGACTCATCCGCCGTGTTCCTTCCCTTCCCGAGATCTGGCAATGAAGAGGAGACCTGCCGCATTCAATTTCGATTCACAGGCAGGCTCATCATGGAAGGCACCAACCTATCCGAGGACGAAGGAAGGTAAGTAAGAAGGCAACTCCAAGGCTCCTTCTAGTTGGTCGATACCAGAGGAGGGCAAGCACCTCCCCAGGTCTTTCTTGTCCGAGTCTGCCAAGGTACCTGTCCTACTCCTCCTCCGACTCAGTCTACAGATGCCTTGCGCATGTGTCGGGGAGAACTAATATTTCGCATCCATCTCCAATGTCAACGCTTTCTCTTCCACTACGACGATATCTGACCGCCGAAACTCATCTCACCTCAGTACCAGATAGCTGTTGCTTGCCTTCTTGATTGGTACTTAACAGGTGTCGTGGATTTGGCCAATTTCTCTCGCACACCAGCACCATGCCCCGCCCCGCCTTCTATCGTGGCTATAATATCGTCAAAACCTCACAAGTCAGCAGGGCCCGACGGACCAGGCTGATCCTTGCACATCAAAGCCAAGTGCCAAAACCGTTGACGCGCTCTCGGCCGACATGGTGCATGGCTGGCCACAAGCACATGGCATCGCTGTGGGAGTTCCCGCCCGTCCCATCTGCTTCACGTATCACCCCTTCAAGGCCTCAACCCCGCTGTGTATCATGCACCAGGTCACACCGTCACACACTTTACACACTTTAGCGTCGCATCGATTTCATCTGTTCAGACACATGGACAAACAGACAGGGTATCCCGACCGCCTTTAACTTCAACTTTACCAACCACACCAACTGTGACGGAATAGCAGGGGATCACCTGTGGGTTGGCTCGGATGTGATGGGACGGGACACTGGTGGACGCACTCGCTAGCCCCCAAACATCAAATGCCACTGTGCGCAACCACGAGGCACAGCAATATATCCTTTGGGAACATCGAGCCACAGCTATCGCGGCTCGCCGTCTTCTTTATGGTTGTCCACAATCGACATATCCACCTCTTCAATTCGTTTCGCGACTTGCCGCCGAGGTTAACAGAACGATCGAGCAGGACGAGAAGAATGGAAGTGGGCGGACGTTCGTAGCAGCAACTCGGCTAGCAGGTACGCCAGACATGCCGTGCCCGTCCTGTCCAGATTTCCTACCTGCCCGTCAAAATAACAGAGGTTTCGATCTCTAGGAGATCGCTTTGAAGTGCGGAATGATACACAGGCTGGCTGCCATTCCTCGACAATTTATAAAACCATGTGGTGAGTCCGCGCACGCTAGGGCTATATTTGAACATGATGCCAATGCTAATGCCTCATTTAGCCTGCTTGCTTCCTGGTAACGCACTTCATTGGCCCATGTTCGACGTGATTCAGAGCAAACTGGAGATTTCGGGCGAGCAAGACAGTGAGCCCAGTTGGAGAGCTCAGAGCCGTTCCCGTACCAGTGGCGTAAGTGTTTCCAAGAGCCCCTTATCCTGGGAGCCTTTGGGCCATTCCACGTCGGCCGCGCGGTTCCACACACTCTATACCTGCTCCACCAGGACTTGGGGTAGGAACAGCTTTCGCTGTCAGATTACCGCCAGTTCCCGTCCCAGTTCTGGGTCACCGACCAGCCCGGAAGAGCGACCACAAGTGCGGGCACACCAGCCAGGGCAGACAGAGCAGGGGGGCTGGCAGGCATCATGGGGTGGGGGGGATATGGTTCCATCCGCACGCGGCCTGGAAGCAACACGGGCCCAGACAAGAGCTCAGGAGAGGGTACCCGGGCGGCATCTCAGTGGTGCAGGATGGGCGCCCTGGCCCATTACCCCCTGGGCTTACTGAGGGGCGAACCTGCTGACCGGCCCATCATCATCCATTGCCATGATATTCGCCGGAAGCTTGCAGAGCAGTGGGCCAAACGGGCATGATCAATCCAAAGAAACAGAGCCAGCCGAGAGCTGAAGACAAGGTCAACGACAAACGCGCATCATTACGACAGCGCCAGCCAACGAGAACAGTTAAGAGAGTTCTGCCAAGGGCACGGTCTTGATGCGAACATGATCCGCCGATTAATCTGTCTAGTTGTACTGTGCAAGTTCGGCCAACAGCTCGCTGATTATCGTCATTGGTGTGGAGGCATGGCATTTGTCTTCCAAGTAGCGACAAGTTCTGACAACAGACGACTCTGTCAAGCGATCCACCAGGCTGAGAAAAGGAAATTCTCCCCTTTGGACGAAGCACAGTACGAAATTGAAAACGACTATCGATCATTCACGTTGGCAAGTACATTTGCGCCGTTGCACAGTGATCCTTGGACAGGATAAGGACAAGCGATCACTGGTAGACGCAAATTGGGGCCCACCCTTTTGAGAATCTTACAACAGTCGCAAATTGGCTATCTCGGACCAAGGCAAAGGACATTAGAGATTTGCGACATCGCTCGGTCGCTTGACTCTGGAAAATAACCAGAAGGTATTCGATCGCGAATGGCGCGGTATCCTTTTTTTCTTCTTCTTTTCTTTTTACCTTCCTCCTGGCATCATCGAACTCCAGCTATTCTTCTTTCAGCCTTGGCGTCTTTGGCCAGAAATTGCTTCTTCCGGCTCAGTTTGGGCACCTCGCACTATTGAATCAGACACCACGCCGAGGCCTACTGAAGCTTGCCGTTTCTTTCCCTAGGTAAACATGAGCCATGCAAAAGAGTATGATTATCAACAACGCCCCTGACGAGAGGAACAGATCGAGTGCAACGGTTTCTGTTTGGCTCCTACAGCCGAACGCGGGCCATCGCGCGACCTGCCGAAAGATGAGGTAGGCTTCAGCCATTCACGGCCGAAGCGACGACGCAGTCTGGCAGAGCGAGTTCAGCACCCTAGACTCGATTTTGCTACAACTCAACAATTTTTTGCTATAGGAATATTGGGCGTCGAACGGTCATCCTAGCCCACCTCATCGCACTGAATCGGAACGCTCCTGGTTGGCTTAATTCTCGGTCATTCGTTGATAAAGGACTCGATAAAATACGCCGTCTGGTATATGTGAAACCCGATTACCGCAGATTTCCCGCCCGGGTTACTGTGGAGTTGATGATGCCGACAAGGGCATGATGGTTTGAGTGGTTTTGGGGTTTCGGGAGCCTGGCATACCACTACGCTCACAGTTCACTTGTCGTGGAGCGCTAGCTGCCATTCGTTTGGCAGAAGAAGCCCAGGATGCATACCACCTTACACATGGATTCCTCAGCGTCTCAGCCCACCTGAGTGGACGGGGGTTCGTTCCGATCGAGACCCGTTGGTTGATCTATTCCGTTGCTGCCCACAAACAAGCATGGAGCGGCGAGGCGCAGGGAGAAGACATCACAGGACCACGAAGCGCTGTGACGCAGGCTCACGCAGCTAGCAGCCAGGCAGGGATTTGTTACCAGTGCTGCTGCTGCTACTGCTGTGGTGGTGGTACCCGTACGGAGACTCAGTACCTACCCTACTCGACATTGCAGTCCCCTTGTATACGTACCGATCACAATCAGCCACGGATACGTCTGCGCAACAACAGTGTTGTTGGGGTCATCGCGTCTGCATATTCACATCTCAATCAGTCTCTGACTCTCTACGGATGCAGAGTACCATCACCCCAACCGCAACATCGCGACCCGCGTCCTCCAGGCCCATCCCACTGGATCCGGCCTTCCAACGTCAGCTGGGCCGTGCCTTGAGACGCGACTCAACGCGTTCGTATGATCGTACCCGAAATTGGGATGCCCAGTCGACTTTGCATCAAACTGGGTTCTTTTTTATTGCACAAAATGAGAGCTCCCCTGGGTTCCTCCCAGGTTTGCCCTGTGCCTTTGCCTCCGCACCGCCGTTATCATTCGTACACTCTACTGCGACGGAGTTCACGGGCTTCGAGGCAACGAGACCCCGGCTACGGCACCCAGAAGCTCGCCTCCCGTCGGCGTTCCACGGCAAGATCCGCAACACGGAGAAACGCGGGCATGCCAAGGTTTGCCCGTCCGCGCGTGTGCTGCGGTCCTCCCGCGAAACCCGTGAGAGTTGGGCAGCTGTTCTGCTTTATGACTGGACTGACTTAGCCTGACATTTCCGCTCAACCTAGTCTCCTCGACCTTTAAGTACGGCTACGTGATTCCTTAAGCTCGGTCCGGTCATGCTTGCCGTCAGTCTAGCAAAATGCGTGGCCACTGCGGCTCAGTATTGAGCGCACGCTACGTATACAGACTCATTTCCCGCCCACTGCAAGTGCAGTAGCTGGTGACAAACAGCCCTCAGCCAGGCTAAGACTGTTGCGTCAGAGGTTTTTACTGCGTGGGCGTACAGAGATCGAGCATCACAAAGACTCAGACGAGGCGAGAGGAGCGTCCCGCGCTGAGACACCTCCTAGAAATACAAGACACCAGGATCTAATTTGCGTGGTAGGAACAGAGACCCTACCAAGGCAACAGATGGGATGCGTGGACTGGCATTCCAACCCTCGTGTCCTCTCCACAGAACAACACCCTAGATTCAATGTCGCGCAGAAGATTTCGTCGCACCTTGTCATTTCGACTTAAGACAACCATCACAGCTCCACAATGTATGTAGTAGGGCAGTTTCTCGTCTTTGAGGGCATGAAACAGATCATTTGCATTTCATCTGAAGCCAAGATGAATGTACGAATGAGGTACTCTCGGATGATGCTGACTCCCAGTTCCAAGCAGGCAGGCAGGGTAGGGGTGGCGGAGGCACCGCAGGTGTCAGACAATGGCGCACACAGCAGCAGCCAGCGACTGATTTTGGGCAGCTTCTTCGGCCAGGATCGGTATCCGAGGTGCTGCTGTATCCTCCCCTTGAGTAGTCGTGGCTGGTCTTCAAACAGCAAGCCAAAATATCCGCACACACACACACACTGCTCGCCTTGCCTGCGGCCAGATCTGCGACCGCCGCCCGGGCTGGTGGGTTCAGACACGGGATTAGACGCGGCCAGTCAAGCCAAGGCGCACGTTTTCCCTGTTTGGTGCGGTACTCCACATCTTCCACCACTTTCTTCCACGTCGCCCGCCCACGGACAACACCGGCGAGGGCCGTACCTAAGATACCCTGTACTGCCAGCCGCCAATAGGGCAGACCCAGAACTGGGGGCGCGAGCTACCGAGGGAGGGCTGTACGAGTCAACCTGGACTACAGTTAAGCCAAAGGAAGTAAGGGGCATGCGAATGAACAAATGGAGTTACGACATTCGGAAATGGTAACTCAGTCGATGTTCTTGAGGCAGAGAAATTCGACAGTCTGAGCCACTGCACTGTTTGTTCTGCCTATCTATCGGAGTCCTCGAGGCTACGGCCCCTTGTTCGGTATGTGACGAAAGGCGATTCCATCCCACAGCGTGCACCAACAGTGGCTGCCCAGACGAGGCACAGCCTGCTGTACTACTATCAGCGACCTGGATAGGAAAAGGCTTTCAGCAACATAGATACAACGGAACCCGCCTTCGCGACACGGAGTGCCAGTTTGCCATTGCATACGGATACACCAAGCCCGATTTCAATAATACATGCTTGTACGCTGTTTTTCGAGATGGCTCCTTGCAAAATATCTCCCCGTTTTGACCACCCTCTGACCATCTGCCCACCCATGACGGACAGAGCACACGGTCTAACTCGGACAACACCCGAAGTTTTAGGCCCTGGGCGACGGAGTGAAGTGACAACAGACTCGCGGCAACGAATTTGAATCACCAGAGCGGCCAATTCGACGGACCCTTACCTTCTTGTGCTAATTGATCTTCCAAGCCACGAAGACCTGGGCCTGCGGTCCCAGTACGAGCCGCCGACCGCAGGTCCGCAGCCGATCCTTTGTTCTGTTACTCTTGATACGTTTTTGCCGGAACCCCAGACTGCGCTCCTTCTTTGTCACGAGGTCATCCGAATTCAACGATCCGGCGCGAGCCGGAGCCATGCTAGGTATGACGAAGGAGGAAGAAGGGGGGCGGGGGGCGGAGCGCCATCCGTCGTTCTCTCGGGTACCCAAGTGATAGCATTGACGGCGAGGGCCCGCAATAACCGTCATGGCTCAGAAGTATTTCCCACCACCGGTGGACAAACAAAATGGCTATTGGGTTTGTAGAGACGAGGGACGGCGATAGTGTATCACGCATGCTGTGAGAGCTGCAAAGAGATTTCGGCCGAACCACACTCATCAGCAGTAAACGGGCTGAGATTCTTGGCCTTTGCCGACTCGAACCGACAATTTTTGCTATCTTCGCATAACGATAGAAGACACGCAGTCGCGGACTTGCATCACCCCGCCTTGTTTGTTTCTGCCTTCTTTCCTCTTGCTTCTTCTTCTCTTCTTCTTGTTTTTTTGCCGCTTTCTCTTTGTCCCACCGTACCTCTCTGTTCAACCATGCCGTACTCTCCTCTATCTCTCCTACATATGCAACCATCTTCGGTGGTCTTGTATGATTTTGCCAGTGCCTGTTTCGGCTTCTTGGCTGGATATTCATTGAGATGTTGCGACTGGCGAGGGAAAGCTGCAGAGGACTATTTTGCGAATTTGGCATGGCAGCATACCTACCCCAAAGAAGACTGGTTAAGACAGAAAAGCTGCCCATATCAGGAGTCGCTGAGAATCGGTTACGCACTTATCCCAAGACTCGCCTCGTTGTTTGCCAATTGTACAGCTTTGGAAGTTTTTTTTTTTTTTGGGGGGGGGGGGGTGTTTTAGTTTTTTTTTTGGGCTTCGCATAGGCATTGGAGATCTGGGGTGACATGGGACATAACACGCTGAACTGTGTGTTTGGGGCAGAGCACCCATCCCTTGGGACACTACAGCCGGGCTCAATTAGGAACCAAGAAATTTTCTTCTCGGGCCGTTTTGTTTGCCTCCAGCGTCGTAACGTGCCGTCCTACGTCTGGAAAAAAGGTGATTATTTCGCCCTCGGACGGAAAAGACGCTGAAACAGATACAGGTGAAGCGAGCAAAGAGCCCAGAGCAGAACAGAAGCCGAGTCTCCAAATCTTGGTCTGGTTGGCTAACGCCGAGGAGGGCCAGCTGGACTTGTTCAAGTCTAGATACCTAGCTGCACGCACTAGTGTCGAGTTAAGCCGGTGTTGTGTAGCTGACGTTACCTCGATGGGTTGGCTTGTTGTCGGCAGGCGAGAAGGGAGAGGGAAAAGGGCCTAATGCCCGGCCGTTTTCTTTCCACCCCGCCGGCGGTACCTTTCGTCTTGTCTTGCCTTGCACCTTGGTATCTTGACTTTCTGACTTTGGTAGGAGGGGTTGTGGTGGTGGTAGTAGTAGTGGTAGTAGTAGTGGTAGTAGTAGTGGTGGTAGCTCAGCTTCTGCCCTCCAATTGTCGGGTCCCTGCGTGGTTTTTTTCCCTTTCTTCCTCCTCCTCCTCTCCCTTCTTTTCGTCTGCTAACATGTTAATTTCTGCAAATGGGCGGCATGGTGTGGGCTCTTGGAGGCGGTGGATGATGGCAGGGTATCGTATCCGTAACTGCACAGTACGGCGTAGGTGGTGCTGCAAAAAATCCATCATTTTACCGACAATATCTTACCACGGGCTCATAGTACGTACCTGGTAACGGGGAACTAAAGGCAGGCAGCTCCCCAGCTGGAGGCGGCGCCGGTGTTGGAGCAAGACCACGGCCCCTAGGTAGAAGAAGGGGACCTAAGGGGAAGGGAGGGGATACTCCCGCCCACGATAAAGTCACCCATTGGGCGGTGCGACATGATCCGTCCGCTGTGCCATTCCCGCTCGGGTCCACTTTGCGCCATCCACACTCTGAATGTATGGTGGGAGCAGGGGGTGTATGTACGGAAACTAGAACCTGGAGCACATACGCAGTACATACGGCGAGCAAGAGATGGGTGAAAGGGGGGGGGGGCAGAGGGAGGGCGGAAGCAGAGCGATGATGAGAGAGAGAGAGAAAGAGAGACAGAGAGCGAGAGCCATGGGGAGGGGTGTGTGTGTGTGTCTGTCTTGGTACCTGGGTGTATATGTGTGTGTGTGTGCGGTAGTACTGAGTGACAGCAGATTCCCATCCCATTCCCATCTGGTGCAGCTTGCAGGTATAGGTAGAATGGCGCAAGGGCTTTCGGGTTAGCAAAATAGGAGCAGCAGCGACAAGGTAAGAAATGCAGAGGCACCAGGAGAAGGAGGAGCAAGGAGTAGGACCAGGAACAAGAAGAGAATGTCGTGTTGGTCGTGGGTTTGGCCTTGATCGTCTTGTCGATTGCATCTCACTGGTACCAGGTGACCATTTGTCTTGCGCGCCGACAAGTTTTGTTGCAGACGCTCACACTCTTTGATATACCTTACCTTTCTGCTGGCCAAGAGATTGATTCTCTTCGCGGCCGTCTTCATCCTCTCCATGTTCAGGACTGCTACACCCAGGTATGGATACTGTCGTCATCGCCACCATCAGCGGAAGTTCTTCAGACATCATCTACCTTACCTTACTGCACCCCAAGCCGCATTACCAACCCTTCCATCCAGATCCCATCATCTAACCACCTATCCGCACCCGCACCGCACACTGCCGTCTTCCAAGGTACCCGAGGTTTGGCACCCTGTTTGCCTCGTACCTGAACCTGGGCCCGGACCCGGACCCGGGCCTACATCTTCTACACCCTGCGTGTTCTGAGCCCTGCCCGGACAGCGTGCCTTTTGTCTGAGGGTGGTTGCTTCAGGATGATTCCCCTCTCTCCTCTCCAGCTATCGCCGTCACTCAGCCGTTCTATTCCCTACCAATATCTCATCCCATCTTCGACAGTGCGCTGCCTAACTCCAGTAGAGGCAAACTCCCCGGGTTAAGCGGCCAAGGTTGCATCCAGGAGTAGTATCATGGAACGACTGCCATTTTACCTCCATCTCGCATACAACCGCCCGTGTTTATTGCACACCGCACGCTGGACCAAGACATTAGAACAGGACAAAACAGGAGCACTGCAACTCAATCTCGAATAGACAACAAGCGACCGGCAATAAGGCTGCAACTTTGATGTGGCTCCTCGCGGTCGGTACCTCAAGGTCTTCGTGTCATATGGTCTCCGAGTACCTTACTTGCCATCCAAAGTTCCTAAGAGACCCTTTATGGTCCGCAACATCAGTCAAGAAAGAAATCGAGTCGAGTGCCTACAGTCGGCCTTTGACTATCGCCAACCTCACTACCAAACAACACCTTGAGGGGCCAAGAGAGTGAAGGCACACCAAAAAAAAGACCCAAGAAGAAAAGACAAAGAAAAAAATTACGTCGCCCCCCAACACCAGGTTTTGGCCATCTGAGCGACGTTACTCAGATTTGACGCGCATGCCGTCCGATTCCCTGCGCAGCGGCAACGGGACTGTCGAGGAGGTTACGGTGCGGCACGCTTCCTTGCCTTACACTGCCTTTGCCTCACCACACTTCAGCATCCGCCAGATCGTCTGGCGTATCCGGCGTGTGGGCATTTGAAGAGCATAGGTGCAGGGTCTTTTCGTACCTCGCTATACCGTCTGGCATACGCAGCATTATCTCAATAGTAGGTCAGTGGTTGTGAGATGTGAGATGTGTGTGAGTGAGTATGTGGGAGGAAGCGCAAAAGCAAATAAGAGTAAGCATAGGGTCAGAATGAGTGAGTGAGTAAGTGAGGTGAGCGAGATGAGAGAGCAAGAGAGACAGTGTGAGTTTGCAGGTTGTGTGAGTGTCCGCATATCTGCCCTGCCGCTGTCTCTCTCTCTCTGCTTCCGTTACTACACTACTGTTGTGACCCTGCTGTTGGGTGCCCTTCCGCCATCCTGTTCCCATGCTCTCTTCATCAATCCATCAGGTATTGTTCCTCCACCACACACACACACCCCTGGGCCGGGGGAGGGGTGGAAGAAGGGGGCAGGGGAAGGTGAGCCACACCCATCTCACACGCAAAGAGTAGAAAGATACGTACCGGGGAGAGGAGACTCGAGGCTGGCACCCCATGTACACGATACATGCAGTACGTACCTGCCTTACCCTCTTGGTTCCCATCCCAGGGCAGTGTCCCAGTGTCCACACTTCAGCGCACGCCTTTTTTCCCTGGCTTGACTCTTGAGACCTTTGGGACCTTGGGACCTTGGGTGGGATCCATGAGATCCTTGGGACATGGACATGGGTACCTGTACCGCGTCTTCCCTGGCACTTTCGTCCCAGAAAGTGGATGAGAGGGTACCATGCTGCGGTACCTCCCCTTCCCTTTCCCTTTTCCCTCCCTTCCCTTCCCCTTCCCTTCCCCTACCCTTACCCCCCGTACCGACCGCACCGCACCGCTCCATGCCCATCCAAGTCCAAAGGTCCCAAGTTCCCAGAGTACGGATGCTGGTCCCATGGTCCAAGGTCCAAGGTGGTCTACTGTCTACACAGCAAGGTAGCTAGATACGGAGTACGGTACGGTACGGTAGAGGCGGTACGGGGTACTCGTCAAAGGTACGGATACTTCTACCTCACGCAGTAGCGCCTCTTTCTTCTCTTGGTTTCTTACATCTTTGGCACAATCCCTCTCCTGCCACTCCACCGCCAACCTGGGCCTTACCTACCCTTTTTACATTACTTTACCCGCCTTGCGCCTGCTCTGCCTCGCCTGCCTTACCTCACCTTTCTCTCTTACCTCTCTTTCCGTTTACAAACCTTCCAACCTCACCTCGAGCTGTCTGCGCCTGTCGCTCCTTGTCTTTCTGACTTGGCTCTCTCTGCCCTTTCAACCTGCCGACCGACCGCGCATACAATCCTCATCCATCATTATATCTCATCGGAACAGCATCGCAAACCCCCTCCTCTCGCTTTTAGGTTCTCTGCCGTCGCAAGGAAGGAGAAACTGAATAGGGACAGGAAGAAAAAAAAAGAGGAAGAAGAAGAAGAAGAAGAAGAGGGAAAACAGGGACCGCAACATCGTCCTCGTCACCATCAATACCTTCATCCTAAGAAGCTTCACCGTCTGCACAATCAATTGCTTGCTGCCGTTGCTGCTGCTCCTGCAACTGTTGTCTCTCACCGGCAAAACACAAGTCGCCGACACTCCGGGATTGTCTCCTACTTAGTAGTACCTGACTTACTCGGTTTGATGATCCCAACCTGACCTCACTTTCATTCCTCGACAACAGCGACACTACTCAAAGACGCATTCACTCACGTTTATTCGGCTATCGTCATTGTGAGAGTCGGATCATTGCCAAATCCGCCGCCACTTTTAAAATTAATCATTCCAGCCACGCGGTCCAACATCCGTACCGCCCCGTTGTCGAATCTCACCGTACTTACCTTTCACGCACTGAGCTGCCGCTGCTTACTCTTGCGCCCGCGCTCTCCGACGGCTTATACGACACCCGCTATCTGTACTCGACTCCAAAAATCCCCCCACCACCGCCACCATTCTGTGTGCGCGTGCGCTTCTCGAGTCAACCGACTTGGCTGGTTGCGCCCTCTTCTATCCGCCACAGCCCGCTTGGTCATGATTCTTGTCCTTCCCGTGCTTGGTCGGAATTATTTGCTAGCAGGGTTCAACAGATAGGCCAACCTAACGCGCAGGCCATTATCGCATCTCGCCTCAAGGGCCCCTTTCAACCACACCACCAACTACAAACACCACTCCACGACACCCACTGCTCGCCAACACGATAGCATCGCGCGGCGACGAGAGTGCAGGTTCAGTCGCGGCATCCGGGCGGACTCGCCGCAACCAGAGCATGGCAGAGGAGCAAGGACGAGGGCCGCCTTCTACACACCGAGAAGACGAAGGTCGACACCAACTTCCCCCCGTGGGAGCACCCGAAGACCCAAGATACCACGACGACAGACATCATAGACCCAACATGGCCGCACCAGTAACACTTCCCTCCATTCAGGATCCCCACGGCGCCTACGGCCAACCAGCCTACCCGAGGTCCTACCCTGGCGATCCACGGGGTGACCCGCGCGCCGATCCGCGCGCCAGCAATTACAGCGCCTCCCCGAATTCCGTTAACGGCTACCCGCCGCCGCAACCGGGTGGTCATCCGCCGCAACTGCCGCCGTTGCAACCCCCGGGTGACCCCAGATCTCCCACTTATCCTCCCCCGCCAGATGGAAGGGACGACTACTACAGAAATCGCCAGCCTCCGCCGCAGTATGGCGACCCCTACTATCAGGAGTATCACAACCGCCAAGGCCCGCCTCCTCCGGGTCGCTACGCCGACTACCCTCCGCCTGGCCCTGGTGGTCCACGATACGACTACCCACCAGGCGCACCGAGATACGACTACGGTCAAGGAGGCCCTCCCATGCAGCAAGCTGCCCCAAGACAACGAACCTCTATAGCTTGCAGGTACTGCAGAAAGAGAAAGGTACTTCTCCCCCAAAGTGATGCGACAGAGAAACTCTTTGAGACTAATTTGGAATGCTTCAGATTCGGTGCAGCGGCTATCAGAGTGCGCCTGGCGGCAAATGCGTAAACTGCAGCAGGATGAACCAGGAGTGCATATTCCAGCCCGTATCTTCGTCTAGTTCGACTGCATTTGTGCCCGTGTCGGCCATCCAGGGAGGTGTTCCACCGGGAACGCCGCTCTATGGGGCTTACGGGCAGCCTCTACCTCCGGGTTCGCTGCCTCCGCCACCGGGCCCCCAGGGTTATCCCCCTCAGCCTGGCAACGGCGGTTACTACCAACAACCACTCCCTTCTCCAACGGGCGGCTACTCGCCCTACGATGCGCAGCGTGGAAGGCGGCGGCCGAGGGACGATGAAGTTGACGAGCTCCGACCTCCGCCACCCGATCCGAACTCTGCAGACGATCCTCGACGTCGCTCACCAGCCTCGAGCTCGAATCACAGCAGCCCGGGAGGCTACATGGGCTACTCGCAAGGCGGTCATCCCGGATATGATCCAAGAGCGCCTCCGGCTAGACATAGCCCTGGACAGCCGGCGGCAGTACCTCACCCGCAGACGGGAGACGAGCGAGCCGCGGCAGCGACCCAGCGACAAAGCAATTCCTCCACACCAGCAGCATCCTCGAGCTCGGTTATGAGCTTGAATAACTTGGTGGACACGACTCCAAATGACATTGACAGGAACATGCTGGGAAGGCTGAACCGTCCTCCAGTGAGAAAGTGAGGAGATGAGGCGCATGGAGGGGGGGAGAGCGTGATCCTTCGTCTTCAGGGGAACCTAATTATTCCGCGGATATCGACCGCCACAGTCCGACGCAAATAGGAATGGATCTGCTGGCCAGGTACTCTCTTCGCTTTGGAAAATCTCTCCACACGACAACCTTGGAGACTACGCTTCCACCTCGATTATTGCGAGCGATGCCGGCGAAAGCGGCAACGACGTCAAGAGATCCATGCGATTGAACTCAGGTTGCATACATTACAAAGTTCATGGGAAACGCATATCGGTCTTTGACAGGCATAGGCAGGCGGGCATGAGCTTCTGTAGCAAGTGAGTTTCCATGATGGAGGGGGGAATTGGCGGGAACGGCTTCCAGGATCAGCCAAAAAAATAAATTCCACGGTCAGCATCGTCTTGATTTTCGATTTTTTGGTGTTTGCTGGGGGCTGGCTGAGGTTGGGAAATGGTGGGAGGTTTTTTGCTTGAGCATACCATACGCGGGTTTCCCGAGATCCGGGAAACTGGTCCTTGCATTCTTATTTGCTTTGTTCTACACCTTTTCTTTTCGTACACAGTCATTTCCCAAAGGAACGGAAAGGGTTAAGATTGGTCTGCCTCACGGCACACGTCTGTTTTTGATTTTCTGTCCTGCCTTTTTACTCATTTTAGTACCCATTGCCCGACACGCCACACATGCTGGAGTGTTGTATTTTTCATGTCAAAACCGCTGCGTACCTTTTTTTTTTTCATTTCATCTCGTATCTTTACTAGTATCCCAAACGTTGAGAGAGTATTACGAAGGCGAAATCGCGCAAGCGATGCAAAGGAACTGGGCGGCAAAGATATCACACAGTAACCTTATCATTTTTATCTACATCCCACATGAATTGGATGCGTTTTATTGTTTTCCCTCCCCACCCCCCATCATGTCATGTTGTGTTTTTCGTTCTGCAGAAGTCAGAAGTTGGCAGCACCGCGAGGGCTACAAAAAATTCCGAGGTTATTTTTTTCTACTACTACTTCATTCCAACGATTCTCTCTACTCATGATTGTCATGTTCTCTCTCTCTCACATAGCAACACACCCACACAACCCGACAAGGTGTGGTGTGCGGTTTGGAAAGAAAGTAATGAAACAAAAAAACACATTTTTAAGAAGCCAAGCGTAGCATTGCCACTATTGTCACCATTGTCTGTGGTTATTTCCTGTTTCTTGCTTGTAAGAGGTCTTACAAGCCAAAAAGAACAAAGCAAGGAAGAATGAGTTTTGTGCCAAAGCTTCAACGTTGTTTGCTGAAGATCTTTTTGACTCTTTGCTGTCGTTACTCGCCTGTCTTCAAGTCCGTAATCCCGAGGGAACAAAAAAATAATGTGTGTCCCACCCCCCATCTATATGTGACACGTCATATTGATCCGACGGTTGAAAAGGGCTAAAGGTAAGGGAAAGGAAAGGCCACACAGGCGACTAATGCTTTGAAGGGAGAGAAGCACGGACAGATCTTCCGCTTTAGCAGGACATAACAAGGAAGTCGAGACCAGTAGTTTCCCCGTCCTTTAATATCAGATTAAAGCTTCTTCTAATATCGATAAACGTGCGTTCGCGCGCTTGGTGGAGGGGGGATGGGGGGAAGCTTTGTTTTTTCAGCACTGATGTTTTTTTTTATGACTGGTGACGGGAACCTACCTACCTAAAGCAGGGAGGGGAGAAGAGAAGGGTAAGGGGAAATGGGAACGGGGGAAGAGGGAAAGAAGATGAGGAGCCACCACCGCTTGTTGCCGCGGCCGCCGGTGCCGCCGCCGAGTCTACCTTCGCGGCACGGTACTTCCCCCCTCTTCCACTTCCACTTCGACCTCCAATGACCCCCTCACTTGGACTCATGAGTAAGAAAAGAAGAAGAAAAAGAAAGGAAAAAGGAAAATATGTTGTTTGCTGTGCGCATACGGGCAGAAAAAAAGAGTCCTGGGGGCCGGACCGCCGATGCTGTCTAACTCGGGGACCTAGCCTGCCTTTGCCTGCGTCCTTTCCTACAACCAAGCCTCATTCTATCCTCCTACTCCGCAGAACCCAGGCACACGGGGAACAGCGGCATCAAGCATGGGGAGGGGGGGGGATGGAAAGGCGACCGTTTCGGCCGTCCGTCCGCGGCGCGTTTCTAAGGTTCCTTTTTTTTTTTGTTATTGCGGGAAGGGATAAAACCAAACGTAAGTGTTCAATGGTCAAAGTAGGTTTCCACTTCATGGGGACGCGGCGGCCGGCGGCAATGGCACGGCACGTAACGAACGGGTCTGTTGGTGGTTGGGTTTGGTCCAAAAGTGTATAGTAAACTGGCGGCGACGCTATTGGGGACTTTTCGGATTCCGGAAAGGCATTTGCCAGATGGGGGGCCAGAGTAAAAGTGATAGAACTGCCGGTGTGTGAGGTGTGAAATTATCCATTCCTCTTAGTTTGAGGTTCTAAGTAAGGTAGCTTGGTCCATGGTATGCCGGTCTTTCTTTCTTTTCCATTTTCTTTATTGTGCTGGCTCTCTTTTCTCCTTGTCAGCTATTTTTATGAGCAGTACTGTTTTCCAAGAGCTTGGTCGTGAGTTTTTGAGTATGGCGGCTTGGTATCATCCCTCAAAGCTCAAGCGTCGGCAGAGAAGGAGAAAAGAGTCAACGTCACCGCGGACAAGTACCCCAAAACAAAAAAAAAGAGTCCTAGTTGATACTAAAAAGTCCAGAAATAACAAGCAAACTAAAGACATCTTCGCTTGTTGTTTTCCATGGTTTCTTCTTCTTGTTCTTTGTTCTTTACGTCTGCGCCTGGGCTGGTGTCTTTCGGTACTTGGGAAAACGAACCAACACAAAGGGGGACGGATCCTAACCAACCAACCTAAACTGCCCCCTCGGGCCCCCCCATCTGCGCCCCCCTTCTCCCCTCAGGAACAAAGGAAGAAGAACAAAGAGTAGCCTGTCAGGGAGAATCACGAGGGAAGAAAACAGTTTTCCAACAAGGACGGAACTTGAGGGGGAGGAAACGAGAGCTTCAATACAACAGCACAATAGAAGCAAAGGACTTTTTTTTTCCCCTCCAGATCTGCAATGTTCAAATTTTACTCTGGGGGGTCCACTAAACCTGAAAGACACGATTGTTCGTTCCCACATGGCGTCTCTATCGATATGTCTCCCGTGCCTGGTCACTGGTGTCTGTATGGGTGGTTTGTATGGCGTGTGCGGTGTGCGGTGCGGGAGGAGGCGAAGAGGGGAGGAGGGGAGGGGCAGCCTGCCAGCCTGCCAGCCCAGAGGAGAGAAGCAGAAGAAGAACAGGCGCCGTTCGAGGCGAACCGGATTCAAGCTAGGTACATTTCGGAGGCCAGTGGACGAGGTGGATGAGTGGACGAGAGAGAAACTTCGAGTTCCTCTTTGACAGGCCCCTCGTTGCCGCCAATCCATTTGTCGAGAGGGAAGAGCTTTCGGGGACCCTTGGCGCTAGTCCCGGGTCTCCTCTCCTGTGCTCTCTCTCTCTCTCCTCGCCTCTTCACCTCAGTTCTCTCCTCTTACTCGACGAGTCGCCTGCCTTTTTTTTTTTTTTTTTTTCCGTTCCCCGCGCGGCGGCGGGCCAAAACGAACGAGAGAAAGAGAGAAGGGGAAGGGATGAGCCCATGAGTGGTGTCCGGGCTTCGGTTGGCCCCTCTCCGCAATCAACGCTCATGGGGACCTTGGATTGGGTTGATCCTGGTTACACAAACCTGCGCGCGAGCGAGAGCCAAAGGGGGTGGTGTATACACGCCTGTCTCTCAGGCAGGGGAGGGGCAAGGAGAATGCCGTTCGCCAATATCGAGCACTGTGGTCCGAGGAACCGACCAAGTACACTCGAGTCACACACAATACAATACACACGCCATCCTTGACATAGGCATCCAAACCACGACGCCAAAAGAGAGCCAGAATCGGAAGATGACTCGACGAGGTTGAAGGAATATGAAAAATTCACTCGTGACGACGAGACAAACCAAGCGGAAGCCGCGAGCGTGCATAACACACGTACACTCACGCGTCTACCTCGTTGCACCGTCGCCGAGAAGGAACGGTACATAGGGCAGGCAGGATTCGAACCGGTCAAGAGAGCAGACGGCCGCTTACGGCGGTACCCATGGACTAGGCGTTGTCTGGGGTTTGTATGGCAGCTAATTACTCACATGAAGTCTGTGCTTGATAGATGCAAGCCAGGCGAGGTCGGAGCGCAGCAACGAGATGTCAGACTCCAAGTGTCTTTGCGTCCGTTGGTAAGCGTGTAAGTGTGTGTCCGAGCCTTTGCAGCTTTTGCAGCTTTTGCAGCCTCTTCCCAACGGCGAGCCCCAAGAGTACATGATGCCGATTCTTTGCAGCAACGCTAGGGATTTTGGGCCGTCGGGCTTGCGCGACATTGGGCGGAGGAGGAGGCGGAGAGAGTGCGCGGCGACCCAATGTACTAACGCAAGACAGGGAACATACCACCATTGATGAGGTCCCTGAATGCCTCGTAGCCCAGATAGGTGCCTTGGCTCAAGATCCAAGTTCCTTGCCCGGGCGGCCAGTAGGCCGGTTGGCGGAGAAAGGAGTTGCCTGCCTGCCTTCTAACAGTAGGCACCGGCCGTTGATGGGGCCGAGGGGTAGACGGGGCACGGTGAACAAGCCAGCTGAAGGGAGATAAGCCGCCGGCAAGAGAGATGAGGTGGGCTCGTCGGTGTCATGTCCCTCCTTGTTACGTGAAATTCATACACTTTCTGGCCCGCGACCCCTGCGGGACTCTTGTACCTCGCACTCTGACGGGCTGCGAAAAGAGAACACCTCTTGTCCTGGAGGATATGGAGTCCGCAAACACATAGTTGGATCGACATAAAGACACTCCTGGTAGCTAAGCGCATGGCCTTCGTTTGCGTGGAGAAGAGGAGATAGAAGGAGGGCCAGGGGGGGCTGAGAAGTACCAAGCAGACTATTGGCGCAGCGTTGCAAAATCATACTTGCAAAGAGGGATGAGGACTCGATGCTCAGAGGCCTAGGCTCTGTACAAGCGTTCATGGCGTTGGACCTGTGATGTGATGAATGCTAATTTTCAGCAGCCCACACCCGTTGTCCTAGGTAGATTTCAACGGAAGAGAAGGGAGTGGCTTGCCGAGCGCTGTCAAGACAAAGGCAAAAAACAGGCTAGAGAAGGCTCCATAGGTAGTAGAGCGCCCGTCGGCCGACCACCAGGCTCCTGGGACACTCGGGAGGGATGGCGGCGGTGACGATGGGCCAAGCGGCTGGCTAGCGAGGTTCAAAATGAGAAAGAGGCTAGAGTTGAGTTCGATCGAGGCACCCTATCTGACGGTACGGAGCGGGCTGGAGGAGATGGCCTGATTTGGCGAGGGCCCAGCACTAGTATTCATAGATCATGGTGTTCAGTGGCTCTGCTTGATCCGGAGAAAAGGGGGCTGATCTTGGCGATGTGAGGAGTGAAATATACGGTGTGCAATGTCCAAGACGACAGGGGAAGTAGCGAGAGAGGAGCGGAGAAGGTATGGAAGTAGTAGGATGCAGAGGCATAGGGAGTGGGATATTGCGGTTGCGCACACCGACATGGAGGAGGGGCAGGGAGGGGGAACCGAAAGAGAAGTGATGGATCTGATCGTTTTCACTGGCAAGTACCTATACCTTTAAGGAGGCGGAAGATACCAAGCGACAGCCAGCGGTGACGGTCCGGGACCACCGAAGGAGAAAAAGAGGGGGAAATGTCCCTATTCACAAACAGAGACGATGGGCGGGTCAGGGGGCGTGGACGCTGCACGTTCGTCTGGCCTTGAGATGCTCGGATAGACCTTTGGGTTACATCCTGACGTGCAGCAATCTTGCAGGGCGACTGTCCATCCGGAAGCATCAAGGTACGTCCGTTCAAGCCCTGCCTGGATCGCCGAGTTCGAAAAGGTCGAGATGCAGTATGCCCTGACCGTAAACACAACGGGGTGTGATATAAACTGCTGTCCTAGTCCATCATTCCCAATTCTCTGGTTTGGTTTGAGGGCTTTTGTGAGGCGGTTCGGAAAATGTCACATGGTCTCAGAGTCATGCGGCCGTCAGCGCCTCCATCCATGGATGGGTTTTGCATATGCCGTTGACCGTATACAGACTGATATTCCGGGACAAGCCGGCGATCTGACATGCGTCGCGCTGATCCAGGGACTGTGCGGCTTCGTACAGTCAAACTGAACACGGTGAGGGTGTCGACTGTAGGAAAACCTGGGAAGCCCGAGACAGAGATGAGAGTAAGAATGGGAGGAAGAGGAGATACGAATGCGGAGGTCAGACGGTGTACCAGAAAAGATGACGGCAGGACAGGAACGTGGGAAGGGGGCGTGAGGGGAGAGTGGTTAGGACACGGCGTGCTGACCGAAAACGGCGACGCTTCTGCGTACCTGACTTTGTCCGATTTTCCAGCCCGTCCTTCCCGTGCTGCGCAAAGGTAAGATGTACATTGAGGCTTTCCCGAACCGGCTGAATGGCGTGTCGTTGTGGAAAGTACGAACGTTTGAGGCGCGCCGGATCAAGAACGAAACAGACGAACGGCCGTGGAGGAAGGCGGGAGAGCGAGGACTACCGAGGAATGGGAAAGCTGGTAATAGTACGACAGCTCTAAGGTAGGAGCAGGTCAATGTGCTGGCTGGGAACGGAAAGTCGACTGCGCTGAGCTCGTGGTGCTGCTTCTTTCTATCGGTTTATGCGACGAGAAACAAACCTTGGTGCTCGGCTCGTGACAAGTATTATTTTCAAGCTTTTCTCCAATGTGCAGGCAGCCCATTGTACGCTCCCGATTTCGCCTGTCCTTTTCTGGTAGCAGAATGGTCATTATTCAATTATTCCTAGTGTTGTTTTCGTCTCCTGGTATCGTCTGGAGTGGAGTGTGGTGTTGTTTCCAACTCGACCTATCCCTGACATCAACATGACGTTGGTATTCAAACGCGTCAAGGCCCCTTTCCAAGGCGAGCTTCCGTCCTGCACGAATCTTGGTCAGCGTAGTTCGAGCAGAAGCCTTCGAATGTTGGTGGACACCGACATACTTCAATGGTCAGTCAAACATTCCTCAAGTCTTGTACAACAAAAGCCCGGCAAGAAGGTCCTGCTTCGTTCCTTGATCCCGTCTCATCAGCTCTCGAGTCTCCAATCAGGTTCCAAATAAGCAACAGGTTTATAGAGAGACAGCTGACGGTGCTGACAGTTGAGACATGTCTGATGTTGCTACACGCGTGTCTCTGCATCTATCTGTATCGACCGGGAAGCATACCCGCACGTATATACGAACTGAATCACATCGACGCCTATCCAGCACCGACGGGACGTTTTTGCAGCTGCAAACAGGCGGAAAGAAGAGACAAGCAGCCACAATGTCTCTCCCTCCCCATCGATCTACCCCATCGCCGTTAGCCCTTTCTGACCTCCTCCCTTGAATGCCTCTCGTCAGGTTGCCAGGGAACGTTTGCCGATCCCAATTGATCTCCAGTCATTGTTTGTCATTCCTATCGAAACGTCAAATTCTTGTTCACTGTTCGACAAAACCTCATTCTATCCTTCGACAAAAGCGAATCGAGAATATGACGAAAAGTAGACCCATACCTACTACCGAGCTTCTGCGCCTACAGCATCCCCGAGACCAAACATGATGGTGGGCAGCTCTAGGAAGCTATCAGGGAACACAACTCTAGGGCGAACATTCCAGAGAGAGAGACCTGCTAATTACCATCAGGCTGTCAACTGTCTCAAGCCAGCTGAGGGAGCCGGAGCACCCTGCTGACTAGGTCAGCCATCCGAGTCTTGCGAAACCTTCCTGCCGTTCCGCGACCCGACCTGCCGGGCCCTAACAATCCGAGGAATGACGCTCGGCCAATACTTGAAGAACCCTCGGGGAACTATCGAGTTGTCATGGCCACATACATTCCATGCCATCTACGCAGCGTGTGGAGAAGCAAGAAGATTCGGGACGGCCCAGATCCGCGCTCAGCCAGCCCAAGGCATTACCAGGCTCGCCAATCCAGTTACGGTTTTGACAGGTCTTCAGTCTTGAACTAAAAGTGCTGGAACTGTAGAGAACAAAAGGGAACATCTCCGACCATACAGGTAATCGAGTTGAGACTTTGCCGTGGAAGAGCCTCGAGATTCATTGTTCACCCCTCTGCATCCACCTTTTTCGTCATACGACTCAGGGTTAGGGTTGCTTGTACTGACAGCGAAAACAGAGTTCTCGGCCAGCAAAGCCTTGCACGAAATCGCACGGTGGAGACTATGCAGGCATCTTATCCGCAGGATCATTTGGGCTGGAATACACTCCAGAGGGCTAAGCGAGGGCGGCGCGGCTGGAACATGTCTTACAAGTCATTTTGGTGTGCCCCTGGCGGAAGCTAGTCCACCACTCGACCAGATTCCCGGGAATCATGTCTCGTTCCTCTACACGGACGGCCCGGTGGCGTGCGTACCTCGCACTCGAACACCCCCTCCAGATGTAAGACACAGAGACGATTTCAGCCAGCCACAGGAAACTTCCGGCCTTGGCTGATTTTACATTGGCACGCGATGTCTCGCCATATATGATTTCGGAAAGCGATAGCCATGTTTGACCATCAATCTGTCACGGGACCAGGTAGCTTCACACGGTGTGGAGCCATGGCCTCGCAAGTTACAAGGCTTTCGAACGATCACTCTTTGATGACAATACTTTCAGTACAGGATCTCGATCGACGGATGGCAGGCACCCGAGAGAGAGAGAGAGAGGGGGAGAAACTGAGATTCGAGCAAGCGAGTGCTTGCGTTTGCACAGGGAACTCTTTCGCGGTTCTAACGCAGCCTTGGCGGACTGGAAAAAAGCATCCACCTTGGGGATATTTGGTGGCTTCTCTGCTGGATATGGTCAAACCACGACGTTCCTCTTTGGTAATCTTGGCCAGACAGATTCTGCAGAGCTGCGACCGACATATCTGAAGGAGACTTCTTGGCATGCTATGCCTAGACTTTCAAGTGTGCTGTTTTCGTTCATGGTCAATTAGCCAAACTCTCGACATCCATAGGCAAGTTTGTTTTCCGAATGTTTGATATCACGTTTCTACACATTTCAATCCTCATTTACAACTGCAAGTAGCATCACTCAAACGAGGCCACGATAAATGCCCCAGTGTCAGTAGCAATTCCTTCCCTTCTCAGCTAAACACTACGACGCGCAAATCGGCTGCTTGATATCAGCCTCTCAGGAGCCGTGGTGCAAAGGAACGAGCTCAAGTGCCGATAGTAGCTAAGCAGGACTATTTGGGAGACGCCCGGTACCCAGTTCGGGACGCTCTGGTGCTCTATCCGCGGAACATGGCTTCAGGCCCTTCGAGACATAAATGTGTTAACATTTTCCTGGTTTCGGACTTCTGGTACCAAAGCTTGAGAGCCACGAGATCTTAGATCAGCCCCAAGTTAACTATACATGAATCACTTCGATCGAACAGAGGTACTACAGGCATATGAACGTCCGTACGAGCTCGCCCACCCCTCGTCAGGGTAGCTACATACCTGGCAGCAAATTGCGTTTTACCCGCAATACATTTAGTTACATTACCACCATATCAACCACCACAGCGTCAGGGAGCGAAGATGAAATACACAGTACACGTCTTCGAGACTCTTAGAATCTACTGGAACATT